TAACCCGATGTGACGCACTAAAGGTCAAAACAGCGCTGCTATCACCCTGGACGAGTCTGGTATGGAGGAATTGGTGGGTCACCGCGCGTAGTGGGATCGAACCAGGGACCACGGTGTTGTGACAGGGCACCTCAACCACCTGCGCGCTACTCGCTCTTAAAAGTTTAGCCCAACGTGTAAGATATATCCTAAATGGTTTACTGCCTCGTGGCTGAGAGGTGTTCCAGGGTGCCCGGCCGCAAAGTACACCGGCGGGAGAAGATCAAACTGGCTCACTTCCCGCGGACCCCAAACTGGGTTTCTCCTGCTCCACCCCCCGCCCACTCTCTGCGACTCTAACCTGGACGTGGAGTTACGTCTGTCTCACTCCTCTCTGCCACTAGGCTGCCGTCCATCAGAAAGAAGGTTGCTGGTTCGATCCCCTACTGCGACACTTTGTTGTAGTTTTCTTGTTGTTGTCTTTCTGTTTCACTTCCATATGCTCGAATCACTGGCCCATAAAATCACAGCATATATCATATAGTCAATACCGTAACATAAGCGACCACGTCTAACTAAATGAGCATTTTCATTTGAAATGTTCGTGTTGTGCGATATATATAACTCCTTTTTCGCACTCTAAAATGTCTTAATTTTAGATCTTTGAAGATTATGCAGTCTGCTGTCGTTGCTCACTAAGCTTATTCTGGGTAACCTGGAAACAGTCGGAATCAATAGGTTTTTCAAAATGTTATGTACCACATATCTGAAATTAGTGAGGCTTATCACAAGAGAATCAAGATTTCACTCTGTGAGAATAATGGGTCCACAGAAAAATGTGATTACATCTAGGTATGAGTAAAAACAGATTTCCTCTCCAGGCAACAATGTTGTCAAAAAATTTCTTGTCGCCTTAATTCAGAAATAAAATGCTCAATCGATCAAATGAGAAAAGAAACTTACGTTCGCTCACACTAAATTATTTACAAAACAAGTGTTTTGGTATCAGTGCTAAAAAATAACTAGTAAACCGAGACGCTAGTGCGGGGCACTGGCCGGAATCTCAAAGGTGTCATACAATAGAACCCATTTGGGACAGCGTGCATCGAAAATGATACACGATTTTGTGGAGGCCTTTTTGCTGAAAAAGCCTTTATCTTACACTGTCAGAGACTATTCGAAAACCCACTTCTTGGCAACTCTAATACGTGACAGGTTTCCAGAAAGTCGTTATTACTGAGTTGTAGCAACGGAAATAATATTATTTTTCACTCTCGGTTTGCTTTACTTGCTCGGCTGAGGTCTGTGCATGGTTTTTTCGCCGGGTCTTTGGTACTCGTTTCATAGCACATATTTCGCCGATTTCCAAGCTATAATTGTTTTTCCAAAAGGTTTCCACAGAGTTGTAAGAGTGGGAAGAAGATATCGCTTTGCCCTCGCAGTTTTCCTCGTAAATAAGAGTTATATATGCACGAAAAGCACTTGTCGTGTAGAGAAATCACAGAGTATCAAAGTATGACGAAAAAGCTAAGATTTTGCTTGGAAACGGAGAAAAACCCTATATAAATAATGGAAACCGCGCTACGCTTGTGAGTCAGAGCACTATGCGATTGACGAACTGCTGTCCCGAAAAGGTTAACATGAGGAGGCGTAGCGGAATGGTTAGTGATGCAGTGCTTCAGAAAGGAAGGTGACATGCAAGGCGATTCTCGCTCTCTTGTAATTAATCAGCGAAGGTCTTAGGGAACGTCTTAGCTCGACCACCTCCAGGATTGCAAAAAGGAATCGTCTCGACGAGCATTCTACTACATTCATATAAGAAACGTATTTCTCAAGGGCAACTAAAGCATCCTGTGAAATATTGGAGAACCCAAGTCCGACTATCTATTAACCTCGGCATAGTTTGAATAAATCAGTATCTTCTTCTGTTTAGCCGCTCCGAGGTGTTAATGATATTATTTATTGAATATCAGCGAAGCATATACAAAACAGTTAATAATGCAGCATGAATATTACAACAGTCGTGGTGGCTAAAGTTTCGGCGAGGTTCGCCATCTTCAGAACCTGGAAAGGTCAAATTGATCCGCAAACCATTAAATCAAAGGCCTTCATAACCCTAGCAGAAAATGTAAGAGATAAATTTTTGGGTCGCATAGGAAAACTTCATTTCAAAAACACTCACCGCCGGATTCATAGCAAAAGCCCAAAAATGCCCAAAAACCCCACTAGGCACGCATAGGGAACAGAAGCATAATGGAGCAGATTTTGACGTTAAAGTCACGGTCCTTGCACAGGAATAGAAAACGTCTACGCGTAAAACTTTGGAAGCCTTGTGGATTCATAGCAAAAGCCCAAAAATGAACCGCAAAGAGGAATGCCTCGAAATAAACGCGTGACCTAGCACCATATCTCAGGCTAATATTCCCGATCTAAGCCAGGCACAGTCTTACATTAGCACAAACTCCAACTGGCAGGTCTTCAGTGATTAATTGAAAAACCTAAAACATCTAAGCGGTGAGTGTTTTCGAAATGAAGTTTTTCTATGCGACCCAAAAATTTATCTCTTACATTTTCTGCTAGGGTTATGAAGGCCTTTGATTTAATAGTTTGCGAACCAATTTGACTTTTCCAGGCTCTGAAGATGGCGAACCTTACCGAAACTTTAGCCACCACGACTGTTGTGATATTCGTGCTGCATTATTAACTGTTTTGTTATGTGCTTCGCTGATATTCAATAAATAATATCATTAACACCTCGGAGCGGCTAAACAGAAGAAGATACTGATTTATTGGAGAACCTTCGTGGACGATGAATGCGAAGAAACGGACATGATATAAGAAATGAAAGGACCTGTACAAAAAATTGTCGGCAATGGTTCGTTTATGTCCAATTACGCAAATAGAAGATTGAGAGTGTTTTTAGATATTTCAGTTGTACGTATTTTTGACGTATTAAAGTATTACAGAACACTTTTTCGAACAGAATTGAAAGACACAAGGAATACAAGAAGAAAAGAATGTTTTGCACACCACTCTACATCATCATTGGTCTACAGTAACACCATAACACCGCAAGGCGGTCAAATAAAATGATTTCGGATTGATTATTGAGACCCAATGTCTGTCAACATAAGGGAGTTCAATGTCGATAATGACTACCCCGCCACACCGTATACGGTTGGCTGTTGACAAATAACGCGTTGTAGCGTAGAAAGAGTAGAGTGGGAAACGAGCGTCGGTGGTGCAACGGTTTGGCACATACTCCCGGAAAGAGTAGGATCTGGGTTCATATTCCGGCTGACGCAAGCGTTTTCGCACACCACTCTACATCATCATTGGGTCTATAGAATTGGAAGAATTACGTCAGATTCAAATAGAATGCTAAGTTACAAATGTCTAGAAATAGTAGCCTTCTGTTTACGAGCCCATTACCAGTATTAGAAGTTGATTACACAAATTTTTCTAAGAACATGTCGTGGCACTTGATCTTCTCCGTGGATGATGCTGTGCCTTCGTAAAGATTAGAGATTTCTATACCACTCTAATACTGGGTTACTACACAATGCCGATCTCGTGCAGTACCACAACAACGTCTACAACTTCATTGAGACTGAACAAATACAGGAATGCTGAGGTGCGAGCAAAACTTGTAGCCTTGAGTTTTTTTTTTGTGTCGTGGACTCGAACAAACTCTATACCTTTCAGGGTAGCGTGTACTCACACATCATCGTCAAGACCCTCGCTTTGATCCTTCTCAGTCGTATTTATTCCGCAAAAAGGTATAGTGGTATTCACTGTTAATGATATAAGAACATCAGGTAACAAGTTTTCGTCGTATCTCAACATTTTTCAGTAATACTTCCCATCGCACCCTGCCATTGTAAATGGAAATCAGACAGTAAATGAACAGTTGAAATAACATGAGTTCTTCTGTGCCGGTTTTGTAGATATGGATTAAACCTTGACTCTGACTGTGGCTCTGAACGTTGACAGATTTGTGAGAAGGTGAAGCCAGATGCTTATCCATACTTGATCTTTCGAAAAAATAAGAAATCTGCAGAAGGTTTTTTTTCTTAGTAAGCTTCATCATTACGTCTCATAATCACTGCTTCCACCTAATTTTCGTTATCTAAGTAGATATTCCTACTTATAGTTGTTATACTTCGTAACTACCTAATAAGTTAAATTCAGTGATGAATATAAAGAGAACCATACTTATTCAGTGAGATTTTTTGATTCTATAGTCTTTAACAAAACTACATGCGCGGAGAACCCCTTGATTCTGCTATAATGGCCGATTATGCCTATGGGTAACTCGTCGAGCTCTGTAGGAGGAGAACTGGAAGTTAATTTTTCAATGTAAATTCCAACTGCTTATGCCGAATCTTAGTTGCTTAATGGTGAGCCGATTCAAAATGTAGGATGTAGTCTGCATGCAGCCATGCAAAGTAGTGGGACGAGTCATGAAAATTGATCGTATACTGAAGTAATGTACAAGCCAGTTCTTTGGGGAGAACAAACAAGTTCATTCTCTTAGTTTGTCTACGTCTAATTGAACTGTTAAATACGGTTGCTTAACGATCATGGCGAGCGTATCATTACCTCAACCAAAAGATTCAGATGAGCATCAAGGAAGCATACCGTCTCCCTGGCTGGTATCAGAGTTTTCTGAAAGCTTCTTCCAATCCAAAAGCAGGTGAATGACTATGGAAAGATGTGTCAACGCACTACTGCAGCTACCCTATTTCAGGAAGACTTGATCGAACACATTTAGCGACACTACTAAGGAAAGAATATCCTTAGGCAGCAGCCGAATACGTAGTAAAATTTGAAGGCATTTGCGAGTCCTCTTTGTTGGACACTTTGAGACTCTTTTACGCCATTTCTTTTCGTAAAACCAGTTGAGCTGACAGCCATTGTAATAATTAATACACGAAAGTTCTGGAATTTTTAATCCATTTTTCGCAGTATTATAATGTTTTATGTATACCTAAGAGGATTGAGTGATGAGCAAAAACCACAGCTTCAGGCGGGAATCGAACCGCGTTTCATCCATGTCGGGGACGCGTGCTACCACTGCACCACCGACGTACATTCGCGCCATCACTCATTCTTCATTCTCAATCATGGGGATATTGAAGAGTGAGTGATGGCGCAAATATACCTCTGTGATGTAGTAGTAGTAGCACACGTCGCCGTTATGGATGAAACGCGGGTTTGATTCCCACCTAAAGCCGTATTTTTGCTCACCACTCATTCTCTTAGGTATATATGAAACATTATAACTCTGTGAAAAATGTAGTAAAAATACTAGAACTTTGGCATACTAAATAACGATTACTACTCTAAGACGCTTGCAGTGAAATTTTCGCATTGCAAAAACCTACAATTTAGGGCCTTCTACTTCATGTGTAGAAACGCTTTCATAATCCATAGAAGAAGCTGAAATCTCATCAAAATTACAGCTGAAATGAGATAACGTTGACATGGAAGAGTCGTTGCGGAAGCCAGAAGGAATGAACCTATCCTCGTGCCTTGACTTTCGATTTTTCCAAGAGAAAGGTAAAGAATTCCACATCGGAATGACTTGTTCCTCAAAACAAAATTGTAATCAACTAATTACTGAGAGCGGAATGGTTGCTAGAAAGGAGAAACCGCTGCGTATAGGAATTTCTAAATGGGACACAGACACTGATTAGAAGTATCGCACAGAATTGCAATGCGAATTTGATGAAACTGGTTAAATCGGGTCGTCACAAGAACAGTGAGCAGTCTGTTACACGTCACCCGTTGAATCATTTTTCAAATTGATCAGTATTGTAAGATTTGAGATCGTGAGATTATATAGATTTAGGTAAAATTTTCTCAATATTATGCTGCAAATGTGGAATTATAACTAGTGCTCTTTTACGGAAATATGCTCGATGACAATCGAATTCTATACGAAAGATCGCAGTTTTAATGAGCGAAATCGAGCTGGATAGATAACTGTTGAAATTATTCAAGAAAGAGTTCATGGGCAGATTACATAGATTATATTGTTGAACAGTGAATAAGCGCAATATAAAAGCGATGTTCATTGTGGAAGATCTTGGTGAACAACCTGTGGGAATGTGTAGCAGTCAGATTGAGAGCACGGCTGTCTACGCATGGGTATCAAAAGCCAAGTATGATACCACAATTGGGATGCATTCTCGTGACCATGGCAGAGTAACAGACATTTCGAATTCTGCTGAAGAGAGTATGGAGAGCCTGCTCAAAATCGGGAAAGACGTAAATCAATACTGACTTTGATTATCTTTGTCGTACACTCCTCATCTACATTGAATCATGGAGAAAACAATATCGAAGACTACTACTTGAACTTAGAAAAGTTTTTTGTGGAACCATAGGTTTAAGATGAGTCTGATTATATCGTGGCGATCAAGACCATCCTTGGTATGTCACCACTCTAGGAACCCCATTCTCAATGTTAAACCTGGGAATGTTCCACACATATCACCATGATGAGATAAACCACAGCACATCTCGCCGTTGTGCGAATATTTTGCACTAGTGCAGAACAGCACCTCTTCCGAGTAAGACTCTTTCTTTCACGAAAGGAGAGAAAGTCATGCTGGTAGAATATAAAACTAGAAAAAACTGCAATTCACTGAATAACCACCAGACTATAGAGAAATACTACTGCTATAATTAAAGGCGAGGAGTACAACCGGCACCTTTGACATCTTCACGTTAGTGTCGTCAAAGGAGAAATCGAAAATATCCAAGAGACGTCCGTCTCGAGGCGCACACGAGATGATATCTAGCGTGAAAATCACATGTGTCACGAGAAATCGTCAGCTGAGGTCAGAGCTTCTAATAGACTGCAGAATGCGGTAGAGTAAGACTTCAAGGAGAGAACAACAGCAGTTATGACCTAAGCGCAGAGGTTGGGAAAAGTGCTCGTAAACCTGTCGAAACCTCGCCAAAAACAAGGGCAGTGTGATTACATTTAGATGTCCAGGCGGAACAGCTACAACATCCAGAGAAGTTATTGGAAAAGTCGATTACGTTTACTACTCGTCCTCATTAACAGGCACGGTCTCCTATCGTCATTTAACACAAAGGAGGATGGAATTATCTAGCTATTATATGATTCACCCACTCTCGATACACAAAGCTGGGATCGTTAAAACCTCGCACCAAGATATAAAGTTGATAAAGGAGAATCTACACTAATCCTTTTTTTCCGCCATCCCCGTCTTGGACCCTGGAATTCCCACTAGATAAAAACCATCTAGGATTCTATCTTTTGAAGTTCGGGTTGTGGTAGAAAGCATGAAAAAGGCATAGCTTCAAGACCCGATAACGTTACTGTTAGCTTTTGTAAAATCTGGGAGTCGTAATCTTTGTGTGCTTCTCTCACAGCACATGGCATCTCACTTTCATGAGGAAAAAATCTCAAACCAGTGAAGAACGTGACGTACAGTCATCTTCCAAAAAAAGGACAACCAAAAGGATCTTTGTAAAAATTGTGCCATTTGCCTCCTAAGTGTACTTTGGAGCTTTGTACAAAGATTTACTTTTTGCGCATATCCAAAGACTTTAAGCAAGGGACGACTACTTGAGCAAGCAGAATTCCGAAAGAAAACTGTTGCATGAACCACATTCAAACCTAGTCCAAGGTCACATAAGTCTATCGGGAATATCACCTGCTCTTAATCCTGACTTTCACCAACTATGAAAAAGCATGACAGCATCACAGAAGCAGCCCTTTTAGTATTCGCCGGCCAACGAGCAAATCCGTCATACATAAGAATTCTATCAGACTCTTATAGGAACTGCGTCACGAAAGTGCAGCAAACTGTTGAATCTTTGCCATAATGCTCACTGGAAAAGGGTTGAACTAGAGACACCGTATAATCGAAGCTATTCAACGTCACACAGCAACGGATCGTGAAATAGCTAAGTTCGGACGAGAAGGGGATATGTGTTGATGAAAATTCCTATTAGACCTTCGTTTCAAAAATGACATTGTCATCTGTTCATAAGAAACCAGTGAAGCATAGACGATGCTCCGGAAATCAACGAAGCGGAAAAAAAGATTGGCTGGCACATAAACAGGACGAAGACTCAGTTTCTAAGAAATTCAGGGTACACAAACAGCTCACAGAGCTTTTGATCAGCGTCTTCTGAGATTTCGTTAGTACTCCCAACGTCTGGCCGACCTGCGCAGCTCAAATTTTCAAAGCCTATCTCGCCTTACCGATTTAGAAGTTTATGTCAATGCAAACCACAGATGTGTCGGTCATTTAGTAAGAAGAAGAGACAATAGATTGGCAAAATGAAATGTAGAGAGAATTCAACGGGAATACATTGGTACTCGAAGGCGGCCTATACGTCTGGCGGACTTGTTCACTAGGGAACTTAATCAGCCGTACTCGCAACTACTGATGTTGCACAGGTCATAATATAAGCTGCCATGCTCGAATCAAACCACCAACACGGGTAACGATTTCAAAGAGAAGAAACGAATGGGAATGTGGTGGGATCCGAAGAACTCGTGAAGACGGATCGTCCAACTATCCGAGTATCTGTCTCGAGTGAGCACATGCGAAGCCAATGGTTGCCCATCTTATACATCACCTCTAAGTGTCAAGGGAATTATTCGAAGAACGAATACAGCATCATAACCACAAAAGTGCTTGTGAAGTTCTACTGCTAGCGTAGTGAAAAATAACACGTAGCCAGTTGGAAGTCCTCAAAATGGACCTTTCAAAGACGTGATCTTTGCCATGTAGTTCATAGTTATAAGATTGTTAGAGGCGACATATCTCAGATACTTCCCAATCTACTGATTTTAGAAAGGTGAAGTGGTATGATCAAATCACTGAGAATTATGTGGAGAATCGCTTCTTACAGTCAGATGGTTGTAAAAAAGCATTGAGTGTCGTTACTCTTACGGCCTGCCTTATTCACTTTTCAGCTACTTGATTAAAAACCTTAAATAATTGCGAAGATTCTCACAAGAGAACCATGTGTAGCAAGTATTTGGGGCTAGATCACTCACGTAAAGCAGGTTTATGTGCAAAAGCTTCTAATTATTCATAACTCCCGAATGAAATGGCTACCGGAGCTGTTTGTGCCTCCCATTTTCGATCTGTAAACCATGTGGGCTATTGATTATCGTTATAATGAAATATGACACTGCTACTATCGAGCATTCATCTATTGACAACCTTATCGGTTTCGTATCTTCCGGTGACGTCACTGAATCCATGCATGATTGATCGCGATGCTTGTATGCCGATAGAAGATTTTGAGGTTTGTTCGCGTTGAAAGAGATAAAATAAGACAAATCTATGACTTATAAAATAGTAGTCTTAAGGTGAACTGTACATGTATACTCACTTCTAAAGGATTGATTAATGCCACAGACGACGTCTTTATGTTCTTCATGGGACATCAATTCCCATTACATTTGTTTAAACAGGTGTTAAGATTTTGAACCACAGTGTCTTACATACTTTTGTGATAACGTTTCAAATTTGCATGTTGAAATACCGAATGTACTCCGAAAGAAGCTAAATCTTCGAATCCCAGCTTCTCATCACTTACAATCATCGTTGGACATGCCGGAGACCATTTACAAGTAAGTTGACTTGTGATAATTTCAACGACCTTCGTACTATTATAACCGTGAATGCGTTCCTTGTTTCGTAGCCAAAACCATCGATCAAAATCAACTACCCGACTTTTTGTGTCTCTTTCAAAATTTTGTATTTTTCTATCTACTGCACTAGTAGACGTCGTAATGGATGTTCATATTGTGAGGAAGACAACGGTCAGTCATGAGATGGTTTTTAGTCATGAAAATCCTCAAATGATTTTACGAAGAGTGTTTCTTATTTCGCTAAAGTTGACTGGAATTACACTTTTTGTGTAGAAATTTGATATAGCCTAGTATAGTATAGTCTGGGGCGGGAGGGGAAGGAAGGGAGGTGGAGTGCTGTGAGCGAGTGGTTATGATGCTCGTCGCGGTGTGTGTGGAGCTGATCCACCTCCCAAATCTCTTCGGCAGTCAACAACAACGCCCTATAAAACGCCAC